TCTAAAGAAATAATAATATTTTATAGTGAAATATCCACTATAAAATAGTAATGTAAGTAGCAATGTAATTCGTTACGCGCGAATCAGCTGTTATAAGGTCAAAGGTCGGTGCACACCTCGTATTTGATAAATAGTACTTCTCTGGATGTCTTTAAGAGAAAATGGCAGTATGTACATGTATATGTACAAGTCCTTAAGTGTTAAGTTTTTCAAATGTACTATAAAGTATAAATATTTTTAAGTACAGTACTTACGTACATTAATATAATACCTACTTTTTACTTGTATCTATTGTCATCAAAATTAAATTATAAGTTCTTAACTTGACCACGACTATGTGACCCTCTCTTGGCGCCAAAACGAGTGAAAAAATGAACAGCATACGACGACGACGCATACCTATAGAGTGGAGCAACTGCTTATTCAGTTTTATTCAACTATTTAGTATATTACAATGAATGGAGGCGGATATTATAATGTATGTATAAGTGCGAATATAAAATATCTAGATTAGGTATAATAAATTCATAATTGATAGTCCGTTACGGTATCAGAGCCAAAAAGTCTTCTTTCTTTATTTATGTACTGTTAGATGCGACATCGACTTTGTTTTATACTACACTATGTAATGATTGATATACCTAAAATAAATAAAATATCTGAGGTTTGGACAAAAATTCAAAAGGTACTTTATTTTGAAAAAGTATTTTGAAAATACCTATTTTGCATTTAGTATTTGAAATACAAAACACAAAACTATTTTTGTTTTTAGAGTGACATTTCTATGAATTCACTGTCGATAGCGAGCGGTGCGATGGAAAAAGATAACCGTTTATAAAAATATAATAAATAGCCCTACAATTATATACTGTGATATAAATAGATATTTTTATTTTGTAAATACATATATAATATACATATAAATACCCAGACCGATGAAAACAATCGATGACCGATGAGTACAAATGTTTGCACCGTGCGAGAAATCGAACCCGTGACCATCGGATGTAAAGCGGTGTGACCACCGAGGCAGTCGAAATATATAAATAATCTTATGAATTTAATTTATTCTAATTTGTTTGTGTGCGCGGGGTGCGGTGTACGGTGCTCCCCCTGCCTCCACCGTTGCTGGAGCTTGCATGTATGGAGCATTGCGAATATAAAATATCTAGATTAGTAAATTCATAATTGATAGACCGTTACGGTATCTATATATATTCGGATTAAAATAAGTATCGCAGTAAGGACCAGTATATAAAGTGATCAACACAATTAATTGATTTTTGAAATATATATACAGAGCCAAAAAGTCTTTGTGTATTCAAAAAATATCTACTTTGTTTGTGTGCGCGGGGTGCGGTGTACGGTGCAGGGGGGACCCTGCCTCCACCGTTGCTGGAGCTTGCATGTATGGAGCATTGCGAATATAAAATATCTACATTAGTAAATTAATAAATTCATAATTGATAGACCGTTACGGTATCTATATATATTCGGATGAAAATAAGTATCGCAGTAAGGACGAGTATATAAAGTGATCAACATAATTAATTGATTTTTGAAATATATTCAGAGCCAAAAAGTCTTTGTGTATACCAAAAATTTAGCCGTTCGGAGCCATTCAGTCACGAATTATTAGTAAAAGAAGTGTCGAGTATATCGTACTATCGACGAATATATATATCGCAAAGTAGAATGCGACGTTGCCATACCGCCTGAGATATACGCGATAGGAGTCAAGTTATTCAGTGCAAAAGGTGGAATCAGCAAGTGTTTAGGTTGTGGCGTGATCAACAAAGTGCCCAAAGAGGTGTTTATATATATATATATATATATGACAGCCTCGGTGGTCTAGTGGTTTAGTACACCGCTTTACTATCCTATGGTCGCGGGTTCGATTCCTCGCACGGTACAAACATTTGTATTAATGAGTATGATTGTTTGTATCGGTCTGGGTGTTTTCTAATATAATATGTATTTATTTAAAAAAAAAACTGTATCCCTGTATTTATATCAGTTGTCTAGTACCCATAACACAAGCTCTGCTTAGCTTGGGACTAGATGGCGCTGTGTGAATTGTCTTGAGATATTATTATTATTATTATATATGTGTGTATATTTAATAGTTAGCGAAATAGATATATCTTGAAATTGTCGCGTTCGATTCCTCGAACGTTTTGTTACGAACATTTGCATTAATATTATTTGATTGTATGTATGTATATTTATTTTCAAACGAAAATGTGTTTATATATTGATATCAGTTGTCTAGTACCTACCCATAACACAAGTTCTGCTTAGCTTAATACTAGATGGCGTTGTGTGCATTGTCCTGAGATATAATTGTTGTTATTCCTTTTTATATATCATCAGTGATGCGCAGCGTAAAAATTAACTTCTTTTTATGAAAATAAATAAAATGTCAGTAAAAAGTTGTCAAAGTTACTCTATATAAAATTTGCTATATATGCGAGCGTAAGTACCATCAAAATCGGTCAAGCCGTTTCAGATATTAGCAGGAACAAACTTAACATTTTTCAAATTATTTTCTTTGTGTAAGTACCATATATACTTTTACATGCATTTAGTTGAAACCTAATTTGAAGTAACGAACAGACATTCCAATTTTATTTATGTATATAAATATGTTATATAGCTTATAATATTATACAATAATATTACCTTTCAAACAGTGAAAGTATTTCTAAATTCTGGATCCACAGTTTACCTTCCTTGTACGTTCTGTCACAGTACAGTCGTCAACATTTTACAGCGCTCCACGTTCATATAACACCCGAACTTACCATTCTCCGTTCAATTTACACTTCAGCATTATTATGTATCAACAAATAAATCAGTTATTAAAAACAGGCTCTGCTTAGCTTGGGACTAGATGGCGCTGTGTGAATCGTCCAGATATCTATCTATACTAATATTATAAAGCTGAAAAGTTTGTTTGTTTGTTTGAACGCGTTTATCTCAGGAACTACTGGTTCGAATTGAAATATTATTTTTGTGTTGGATAGTCCATTTGTCGAGGAAGGATTTAAGCTATATAACATTACGCTATGACCAATAGAAGCGAAGCATCAGTGAAAATTGTTGAATAAACGGGAAAAATTATTCATATTATATTAAACAAGCTTACAAATGTTTGTATCATGTTAGGAATCGAATCTGCGATCATCAGAAATAAAGAGGTGTGCTAAACCGCTCTGTCAAACAACTCTGTCAAGTAATATATTTTTGTAGCTGACTGTACAGGCGCGATGGGTGCCATCAATCATTGGATATACCTTAATGGACGCACGTACTTCGTTATCAGATGGATTACGATGGTAATCGTTCTTGGAATGTAATTTTTTTAAGTTCTCCACGAGACATATTCGTAATTTAACCATACTTTTAAAGTAGATACCGTTTGTAATTTATCTAATTGATGTACCTTTTTCATTGTGTGGAAAAACCTTAAAAAGATCGTCCCCCACTGAAGGGGTGACTAGGGGGTGTTTCTTCTTACCTACTAAAAAACCACACATTGTACCTACGAGCGCCTTTGCCGGAGTTGCGAGGTTGCGTTAGGATTCTACCCCGATTCCGAGAGCGGTGGCCGGCCATGTGTGGTGTAGGGCAGGCCCCATCTCGTTGTTAGGGCGACCTTCTAGATAATGTAGGGCAGGCCCCATCTCGTTGTTAGGGCGACCTTCTAGATAATGTAGGGCAGGCCCCATCTCGTTGTTAGGGCGACCTTCTAGATAATGTAGGGCAGGCCCCATCTCGTTGTTAGGGCGACCTTCCAGATAATGTAGGGCAGGCCCCATCTCGTTGTTAGGGCGACCTTCTAGATAATGTAGGGCAGGCCCCATCTCGTTGTTAGGACGACCTTTTAGATAATGTAGGGCAGGCGCCATCTCGTTGTTAGGGCGATCTTCTAGATGGTGTAGGGCAGACCCCATCACGTTGTTAGGGCGACCTTTTTCGTCCTACTCAATATGCTCACGCCTCCGAGGCTATTTGATTGAGGCGCTACCTCCCTCAAGGCGAGCAGTAATTACGTAAGTAATTGATGTAGCTATGAGTGCTAAGTTGAGTATTAAGTAAATAAGTTTCTAAGTTCCAAAGTTCGATTCTCATTTCTCAGTCAAAGTTAATTCTAAGTAATTTTATAGAAACAAAGGTAAGCTTAGATTTTAAGGGCTAAACTAATCAAACCGACTCGGTGGTTTATTGGCACACCGCCTTATTTGCCAATGTCGCAGGTTCGATTCCTCCCACGTCACATACATTTGCATTCAAGATTTATCATCATCATCATCAGCCCACTGCAGGCCACTGCTGGATATAGGCCTCTCCCAAGGCACGCCACTGGGCATGATCTTCAGCCCTTCTCATCCAGTTACTACCCGCAACCCTACCTATGTCGTCACTTCACCTAGCTGCGGGGCGTCCTACACTACGTTTGCCAATTCGCGGTCTCCACTCTAAAACACTTGTAATATTAGCTTGCGACAAGATGGCGTTGTGTAAACTGTTCAGGATTATTATTATAATTAATTATTTTGAAATTTCATATATAATTAAATTACTTAATCCTGTTTGTTAATTAAGTATTCAAAAGTGCTTAAAGTTTAGCGCTTTTTAGATGTACAAGATGTTTATTTTTGGGAAACGGTTAAGGTACAGTTTCATGGGGAATGCGAGCGGAATAACAACTCAATAACATACGAACAATAAGCCAAAAATGTTTAATGTCATATCGATAAATTTACATTGCGTTTATCGTAACACCAAAAACTGGACACCCACGACACGCGAGCGGCGCGGCGCGCCATCCACTAAACGAGTAAAAATTCACCTAAAAAAATCCTCGCTAAATCAAGTACATATATAGATAGGGGTATTGCGCGAGAGTTTGGCGCCGGGGGCCGGTACGGCGCCCCCGCCCCGCGGGCCCGTCGGGCCGCCTCAGACGAACCACTCGTCCTTGTGCGGGGCCGCGCTCAGCGCTGCGCCCGCGCCCGCAGGCGGCCCGGCCGCGCCGCACTGTACCCGCGCGGGCCCGCAGGGAGCGCCCAGTTTCCCGGCAGCCGCGTGCTGCCGCTAGGCGAGGAGGCCGGCTTGACACCACCGGCCGGCGCCGCCGCGCCTCCAGCGCCGGCGCCGTTGCTGCTCGCCATTTGTTGCACTGGAAACGCAGCATCACACAAAAAGATATATATTTATAATAGATTAGATGTTTATTAAACAATGCTCGTTATCAGTGTAAGTGGTCTCGGACAGGTAGTTCACCTGTCGAGGTTTTCTCGAGAGACTACAGCATGGGGTTTTTCAAGAAGGGTATATTAAGGTTTCTTAAGGGTCGGCAACGCTACACCCCTGGTGTTTCAGACGTTCATAGGCTGCGGTAACCGTTTACCATCAGATTGGCCGTATGTTTGTTTGCCACATACGTGGTGTAAAAATTAATTTCATGAATTACAGGGTTATTAAAAATATGCACTTTATAAAAGCAACTTCAAAACAATTATTAAAATATATTTATTACTCTATAAAAGAGATTTTTTAATAAATAACAAATACTGTAACTCAATTTGGCAATTATCTTTTTTTTTTCCAAATATTCTCATCTCCCCTCTTAAGGAGAGGAGATGGCAACATTTTTATTATTATTATTATTTTTATCGAAAAATTCTCATCTCCCCTCTTAAGGAGAGGAGATGGCAACATACCCCCTGTAGAAGCACAGTCGGCCGGGGTTCTTATTATTATTATGTATATTTGGATATTATTTGGATTATTTATCTGTTAATAATTTTGTAAAAAATAATAAGTAACTAAAATAATACTGTATTCTATGTAATACTGTATAATTACTAACGAAAATATATGTACACTTTAAAAATATAACGAGGTCATTATTGATATGTAAATTTAACATAATCACGGGCTCATACCACATTTTGTTTATTATTATACAGTTGCCTATATTTCGGCAGTTTTACACCGATGTTCCATTCCTCTGTATTCATGAGTATGATTTTTCATATCATTTCCGATGTTATCTGTATATATATTTACAAAAAAATGTATAGTACCCATAACACAAGCTCTGCTTAGCTTAGGAATAGATAACGGTGTGTGAATTGTCTATAGATATTAGTATTATGTTTTACAAAATACAGGTAGGTACGTACAGTGTAAATGCGTGCGCTGCGAGACAGCGCGCCGGCGACACATACAACAGAAGACGACCGCGGCTGCAAGCGCTGCGAGCGCTGCGCAGCCGGCGGCTATCGCCAACCACGCACCGCCGGCGCCCGCGCCACTGCCGTCTGCATCACAACCGAACATCTCACTAGCTATCACCAGCGACTTTTTCTGACTATTTAATATAAATCGTAGGATGGCAGTAGATTATTTATGTAGTATGGAAAATTAAGATTATTATTATTATTTTTAATTTAATTTAATTTTTTCTTGTGTAATTAGTGTGTGTATTAGTAAGTAGTGTTTTATAAGTGTGTATATGTATACAATGTTCCTAAGTGGGCATATTGGGAAACTGTAAAGAAAGAAGAAGAAAGAAAGAAAGAAAAATATTTTATTCAGTGCAATGTAAAAAATACATAGCTCACTTAGTGTGACGTAAATAAATAAATAAATAAATAAACGATAAAGTATGTCTTCTTCGTAATAAATTATTTTCCGGTCAAAGATTATTAGGTATCCATTCTATATATAGAACTAGCTACTCGCCCCAGCTCGCACGGGTGTACATGAATTATATATATAAACCTTCCTCTTGAATCACTCTATCTATTAAAAAAACCGCTTCAAAATCCGTTGTGTAGTTTTAAAGATTTGAGCACACATAGGGACAGACAGCGACAGCGACTTTGTATTATTGGGCTCCCTAAAATATGGTCGAGTGCAGTGATGGCTGGCTCATCCGTCATACTCGTAAACGAGTGCTGCTTGTAGGGACTGGTCTGCTCTTATCACTACGACTGATTTAATCTTATTGCACATTTATATTTGACCCGAAAATTAGTGCTGGTTGGTAGTTTGTATTCACACGTTTCGACTTGTAAATATAAACTTACAAGGATTATTTAAAAGAGCAACACAGAAGTTTCTTGCTCGTTCTTCTTGTAATGAGACAGCTTTCCAAACGAGTGGTAGATAAAAAACAAATTGTTATGACTATTCATAACAATTTGTTTTTTATTAATATTCCGAGGAGATAAAAACGATCGCTCCTAAGAATATCCTTCAATTCTTGTCCCTGACGGGTCTAGGTAGCGAACTCTGAAAAGGGCGAGCACAATAGATCTATGTAGGTCGCAGTGCTACAGGTGTTACACATCTGACAATAGCCCAAACAATCCAATAAAAAAAAAATAAAAAAATATGACTATTCAAAAGTGCTTAAATTAAGTTTATTTGAATAAATGATTTGTTATTTCTATTCTATACTATGTAATAATAAGACGACATACCGGGGCAGAGTGAGGCTGTATCCTCGTCAGAGCCGTCGGCACAGTGATCTACGCCATCGCAAGTTAGGTCTGCACTCACGCAGAACTCACGCTGCTTGCACCGGAACTCCTTGCACCCATGCTCTGCAATCAAGCTCACTGCTCTTACATACAATCTTGAAAGTAACACTAAACAGAATAAAGCAGTCCATACACGCTGTATATTATATATAATAATAATAATAATAATAATAATAACGTAAGAACGTATTACCCTAGTAAAATGGGAGATATATAAAATATATATAAATAATAATAATCTCAGGATAATTCACATAGCGCCATCTAGACCCAAGTTAAGCTAGCTGATACAAACAATCATACTCATGAATACAAATGTTTGTGCCGTGCGAGGAATCGAACCCGCGACCATCGGTCGTAAAGCGGTGTGCTAGACCGCTAGATCACTGAGGTCGTCAATTTAATCCAGATTGTATATGCTTATAAGTGTAATAAGTATGTACAATCTGGATTAAATGGACCAAAATAGTATAATTTTTTATAGTTTCAATCAGAAAAATAATTGCGTTATATTATCGAGACACTCCTCTCTCCAACGTAAGATTAGATGAGATTTTACTCAACGCCCTCTCCCCCTTAAACATCTCATTAATTTATGTACGCCCCCTTATCTATGTATACCAGATGATTACCACTTAACATCAGGTGGATCAACATTTGAATCACATAAACATGTATTTGCCACGAGAAAACCGGTCAAAATATGTACATCATCATCATCATCATCATCGCAGCCCGGAAGACGTCCACTGCTGGCCATAGGCCTCCCCCAAAGATCTCCACGACGATCGGTCCTGCGCTGCTCGCATCCAATGCTTTCCAGCGATCTTGACCAGATCGTCGGTCCACCTTGCTGGAGCTGACCGGACCACCACGCTGCGTCTTTCGGTCCGTGGTCGCCACTCGAGGACTTTACTGCCCCAACGGCCATCTGTCCTACGAGCTATGTGCCCTGCCCATTGCCACTTCAGAGTCGCGATTCTTCAGGCTATATCGGTCACTCTGGTTCTTCTGCGGATCTCCTCATTTCTGATTCGATCACGCAGAGTAACTATGATGTACGAGAACAGCCAATTGAGTTTCTTTACATTTTTTATAAGATAAGCGTTTAAAGATTAAAAAGATATTAAAGATTAAGATTAGATTGGAGATTAGGACTTAAAGAAAAACCCTGAATCAGCGGCCATGTTCATTCCATTCTCTGTTAGGTGGTATCACATGATAACGTGATACACATTTCTTCTCAAACTACTCTAATGCTGCCGCAGCGGGCCTTTACAGCTTCACAGGACGATAGGGGCCGAGTGCAGATGGCACTCCAAACCCGCGGAAGGTATTACAGAGCGGCTGAAGGCCAACTCCCGCCTGACGGATACGAGTTTAGTCTCAGGGCACCACTAAGGGTTCGGACCTCGACTCAGGCCGTCGTAATTTCGATCCCCGTTTGAATTGGACGGGAGATCGATTGGAAGGGAAATACTTAGATGAGTTCTCAGTTTGTCTGTCATTGATAATATGTAATAATAAATGAGTCCAATATTAATTTATTGATATTAGATTGTTTTGATTAAAGATTAAACCGTTTCATTTATTTTAACTGTATTTCAAAATTGATGTGTTTTTTATTTTTTTTTTTTTATTTGTTAACTCAGTAACTCCGCAATTTATAAGGTTCTTATAAATAATTAATATAGAGTGATACAATCTATCTTTTCGGCAAAATCATTGACATATATGTCTATCCATAAAAAAGATTTTATTTACCCGCTGCTCTTCAGTTTACCCATGATCATGGCGGTCGAAATAACGGCCTCATTGCCTTGCCTTTATCCCATTATTTGGGGTCGGCGCAGTATGTCATTCTCTTCCACTGCTCTCTATCGGTCGTCATATCTGAACATACTCTTCTTTTATTCATATCATCTTTCACAAAAAAAAGAAGAGAAAGAAACCCTAACCCTACTACTAACCCTTTCCCTAAGAAAAGATGGATAGATTATCCATCTTTTCTTAGGGCGTCCCCTCCCTTTACATCCATCCACATTCATATTATACACTTTAATATTATACACTTTATTTTAGTCGAAATAAGGGCAACTCAATAAATATAAAACGTGGTAAGATCCCGTGATTTTAACTAATTATACGTATAAATAATGACCGCATCAAATTTAAACCAATATATAAAAATTATTAGGAGAAACTTAGCTGTTTAGTAGTAAAAATATAACAAACGAACGGATAGACAAGTTTTTGCGTTTATAATGTTAAAACGTAATATTTATTATTCATCCGTTGAGTATATACTCAAGTATTTCTATATATACAAACTTTGTAATAAAAAGTTTTGTACTTTTTTTTGACAGACGTACTTAACAGTTGAGAGGCGAGATCCTTTTAAAGTCTCTTATAAATAAATTCCGTTTTAAAAGGGGCCGTCCCTTCGTCCTTTTTCTTGGGGTTCTAAATAAAAATCTTTCACAATATTATAAACCAGAAAGCGTATTTGTTTGTTTGTCTTTCTGTACTAATATTATAATGAGAAATATATGTATTTTTATATTTTTAATATATTAATAGAAAAACTACAAAAAAAACCTATTATTTTTAATTCTTTCTAGTAACTAAACTATTTTTGTTTCAGGCATCCATAGGTTACGGTAACCTATTACTATTAGATGGGCTGTATGCTTGTGTGGTGTAAAAATATATATATATACTAGTTGTCCCGGCAAACGTTGTTTTGCCTTAAAATAAAAATAAAAAATTAGGGCTGGACTACCCCTAACATTTAGGGGGATGAAAAATAGATGTTGGCCGATTCTCAGACCTACTCAATACGCTCACAAAATTTCATGAGAATCGGTCAAGCCGTTTCGGAGGAGTATGGGAACGAAAACTGTGACACGAGAATTTTATATATAATATATATAACGCAGATAAATATATCGGGCGTAATCAAAAAGAAAGAGACAAACTGGAGGCTTTTGAAATGTGTTATTGAAGAAGGATGGAAAGATAAAGTAAGAAACGAAGAAGTACACAGGGTTAAAGAAAAAAGACAAATATGGAACACAATAGAAAATAGACGAGGACAAATGTTGGGACACTTGATACGGCACGATGATCTCATGAAAATTATTATAGAGGGGAAAATAGAAGGAAAGAGGGGGAGGGGAAGACCAAGGCACAGCTACATCGAACAAATTAAACAGAAGATGGGAGTTGTGTCGTATCAAGAATTAAAGAGCATGATGGAAGATCGCGGAAAGTGGCAAGAGCTCCACCGACAAGAGCGTAGCTCTTAAATTATGAATGAATGATATGAATAAGAACAAATAATATTAAATTACACGAAACTAGATTTTATCCGTGACTTCATATCAATTGAAAGAAATAAAATTTAATTATAAAAAACAATCTTATATCCGTGACATCGTTTGCAATTTTCAACCCCTATTTAACCCCTACCATATTGTTTAGATAAAAACCTTTATTCGTCCATTATTTTATTTTTTATTTTTATTTTTTTTTTTTTTTTATACTCTTTATTGCACCAATTACAGAACAAAAAAAAAAAAAACAATTAAAATGGAAAATATACACTGATACAAAAGGCGGTCTTATCGCTAAGCAATCTCTTCCAGACTACCTTTGACATTATATGCAATATATATTCACTATATGTTACAATATATACTAAGTGGCATTGCACATATTGCTAAGCACTTTTAAGCAGTATTTTTTTTATTCTTACTCATTCGGGAAGCACTCATGCGGCAATCAAGACAAAAACCGTAACGCACACAGATTTCGTGCAATGCATATTTATTATAGAAAAGCCAGGGCTATATACTATATATGTGTATATATATATGTTGAGAGAATTTCTTAGAATTTCTCTTTGTTTATAATAAAATAAACCACTGACTAGTTATCACAAATAGCAACTGAATAATAGTGTAAAATTTAACACCAATCATGAAATCATAGTCATTATATATATTTATAATAAAATTCCGCATACTATCAAACAATGTAATATAAGCCATTTTAGGGCAAAGTTACATGAGTGGTTAATTGTAAATAACTTTTTTTTTTGGTTCAGTTTTTCCCTTTTGAGGGAAAGGCAAAAGGACTCAGCCCATACAGCCATTGTCTTCAGTAATATTTTCTTATATATTTTTTTTTTCTAATGATTGTCTTCAGAAGTTACAAATCTCTACAGTATAAGGAATTATTTGACATACGAACTTTGACTTAATGTAATTATAACTTTAATAATATTGTGTGACATTAGTGGAATACTGTGACATTTATTATTTTATTGTGGCGCCTATTATAATGTTTTAATGAAAAGAAATTTAATGACATATTGTATTAAAATAATTATGATACAATTTCAATATTTGCATACTATTACTATTACGGGTATGCAAATATTGAAATTGATATCATAAATAGTTATTATTATTATTTATTTCTTTGTTATTTATATTTGTGCGTGTAATTTGTGTCTGTACGTAACTAACATTAACTATAAGAAAACTGTAATACTAACAAACTGAGTAAGTCTGATAATAAATACTTTATTATTATTATTATATATTATTAATAATATTTGGTAGAAAAAATATTAACTAACTAACTCATAAACTCTATAATTTTGCAAATTATAGAGTTTACTCGAAAACAAATCTTAGATTTTATCGGGTTTTCTGTACTATAAATTTCTAATTCAAATTCATTATTTATGAAGTACAGTTAACAAAGTTTTTATAATAAATAACATGTTTATTTATCTTCTGCAATGAAGCGTTCAAAAATGTGATATTATTTATTAATTTTTTGTTTTTTTTATTAATTAATTACATTGTTTTTAACTCTTAGTTTAGTTGTAGTTTAGTTACATATTTTCTTTATATATACATATGTATATAGTATTTTTTTTTGTATTATTGTTTGTTTAGAAATAGGAATAATCTTTATTCAAATAAACTCATTATAAGCACTTTTGAATAGATTTTTTTTATATAATAATTACAGTATAACAAGTAAGAGGC